CATAACAAAATCAATGTTTTGATTAGCACCCTTTTTGTCCATACTAGGTAATTCTTATCAGTTCTGCTTTTTTCAATTATTCTGTGGTGGAAGATATTTCACTCAGCAATAAAGGGAGCTCCAAGGGCCTAGTGGTAAGGAGTTGTGCTGTAAACCCAAAGGTAGATGGTTTGAATCCACCAGCTGCTCTGCAGGATAAATATTAATAATCTCCTCCCGGGTGATTTACAGCCTCTAAAAACCCACTGGAGAATCAGCTGTGAGTCAGTTCAGACTCACTGGCACACAACAACAGCAACATATTCCAAGGGCAATGAAAAAGAGCCCTGAATGGAGCTCTGGTGGCCTAGTGGCTGTAAGAAACTGCTGTGCTATAATCCTGAGGGCATGTGGTTCGAATCTACCAGACGATCCACTGCAGAAGGAGGGGCAATCTCCTTCTGTACCAGTCAGATCCGATTCAATGGTACAAAATAAAGGAAGGAGTGGCCGAAAAGAAAGAGCCCCAAGACCTTGGTGACTTGCTCACCTTCTTGTCCCTGCAGGTCAGGCAGGAGCTCAGCTGTTCATTGCTGCTCCACAACATGAGGTGACAGGTGGTCACAATTTCACACATTTCCTCAAACCAGAGGGGAAAGAGTCTTCCAGTAATCAGGAGCACATAATCTTGCTTGCTTCAAGAGAAGAGGACTTGAAGCACGTGCTGAAGAAGAGAAAAGGCTGCAGCCTTCAGTGTGGATTACCCCTCAACAGTAAGAAAGACAAAATCTCCACAGCTGTGTGCCACTGGACAACAAACACCATGATAAGTGGAGAAAAGACTGAAGTTGTCAAATATTCCATTTTACTTAGACCCGAGTCAACCACAGCCCACACAAGCAGCAGTCAAGAACTCAAGAGATGTATTGCAGTGGGAAATCTGCTGTCCTATTTAAAGATGAAGGATGCCAGTTGAAAGCTAAGATGTGCCTGGCCCAAGTCATGGTATTTTCAATTGTTTCATATGCATGCGAAAGTTAGATATGAATAAGAAAGGCCACAGACCTCTGCACTGTGGTGCTGATGAAGAGTACTGAATACATCACAGGCTGCCAAAAGAATGGGCAAATTTGTCCTGAAAGAAGTGCAGGCAGAGCTTCTAAAGAGGTGAGACTGGTGAGACTTTGTCTGTCATACGTTAAGCCATGTTAACAGCAAAGGCCAGTCCTTTAAAAGGTTATTCCATACACTTGGAAAAGTCAGGAGTCAATGAAGAGAAGAAGACCCTCAATGAGCTAGGTTGACAGAGTGTGACAGGAGCAACACAACAAAGGGTGTAAGAGAGCGGAGATTGTGAGCGTGGCCCAGAACTAGACAAGGGCTCAGTCTGGGGTGCAGAGGATCTCTACGGGATGGAGTCAACTCAGTGGCACCTAACAGTTTGGAGATAACACTTCTCGCTTTCACACACAGCTCACTGGTCAACACTGGTTCATCACAAGGACTGTCCCCTCTCCACAAGGCAGCCAGAAGAAGTATTTTACCACATGCTAGAAGATAGAAAATCCACAAATAGCTAAGGAATGACTACTGCAGTCACTACACACAAAGATAAACTTGCCTTTATGTCATGACTTGTTGTTAGTTGTCATCAAGTCTAATATGACTCATAATGACACTATGAACAGCAGAGATGAACCCTGTTTTATCTTATGCCAACTTCACAGTCTCTGACATACTTGAGCCCATTGCTGCAGTCACTGTGTCAATCCGTCTGGTTAAGGGTCTTCTTCTCTTGCACTGTCCCTCCACCTTTACAAGCTTGATGTCCTTCTCCAAGTAATAGCTTTTCCTAGTAACATAGGCAGGTCTAAGGTGTGCCTGATTCGATTCAGGTCATGGTCTTTTTCAATCACTTCTTCTGCATCTGAGAACTGGACAATGACTCAGGATGACAGAAGAACTGATGCCTTTGAATTACGGGGTTGGAGAAGAATGCTGAATATCTCATAGGCTGCCAAAAGAAGAAGCAGGTAAGTGTTGATGCAGTCAGAGTGCTCCTTGAAAGCAAAGATAAGGAACTTAGTCTGCTGTCCTTTGGGCATGTTGCTAGGAGAGGTAATTCCTTGGAGAGGGACATCATGCTTGGGAAGGTGAAGGGTCAGAGAATGAGAGGAAGAGCTTCAACCAGCTGGGTTGACACATTCACTTCAAGAGATTGTGAGGATGGCACAGGATAGAACAGGGTGATGAATTGTTCATAGGGTCACTGTGAGTTGTACTCTACTCGATAGCTCCTAACAACAACAGCAACACACCCAAAGTATGTGAGACATTAGTGCCTTAATCCAGGAGAAATAATTCCCCTTTTCCCCCTAGATCATATTTTCTTCACTTTACTACAGAAAAGCTTCTCCTCAGATACTCATGAATTAGGATTGTTTGCATTGATAGTCCAAGGAAAATAAAATAAAAATGTACATTGTTTATTCTCCTTTCCAGGTTTTTCTCTTTCTTTCTTGATCTTTTACACCACTCATCATGCCAAAAGGAGCTCTGGTGGTACAGTGCATTCTATGTTACACTGCTAACTGAAGGGTAAGGGGTTCAAATCCACCAACCACTCTTTGAAAGAAAGATGAGAAGTATTCTTCCTTAAAGATTTAAGCCTAGGGAACTGGAGGCTGGGTCTCCATGAGCTGGAATCAACTCAGAGCAGGGGATTTAGTTTTTGGTAGCCTTGTAAGTCAAGAAGTTGTGTTGCCCACAGGGGCAATGATTTTGTAAATTATTACCCAACTGTATCGGAGACAGTGTGATTGGCACAGGACAGAGCAGAGTTTAGGGCTGTTGTACATAGGGTCACTACGAGTCTAAAGTGACTTGACGGCACATAACAACAACAACATTACCCAACTTGGGAGGGACTGGAGAGCATTCTGTTGAATGAACTCACTCAGTCCCATAAAGGCAAATATTATATAAAACCGTCATTGTAGAATGAGTATGAAGATCCAAGCGGAGGCATGGAAGCAGAGGGATGAGGAGGCGCTGGGGAAGGAAGATTAATCATGAGGTTGTACAACTTGATGGGTGGGAATGTGAGGGGAAATTGGAAGAACCTGGTCTGGAAAGCAATGTATTTTAGTTTTGTAAATAAGTTAGCATAATTTTTTTAAAAAAAATAAAACCTGCTGGAGGTTGAGAACTGTAAAATACAGTTCTGACTCAACAGAAATGTGTTTGAGGTGTGTTTTGGTTGTTTTGGATGCTCATTCTCTTACCGTTATTGGAAAATTACTCAACCCTCGACGACTTCTTTTTCTTTTTTTAAACTACGTGGTCCAGCTGACAAAACAGTAGAATTCTCCTTTGCTGGTTTCCCAGTCTCCACATTGACATGACTGTATTCTGAGATAGAGTAAGATGAGTAACCTGTCCAAATGATAGCTCTTCATTCCACTGGTTCTTGCTCGCACTTGGTAGGATAGTTCTTCATTCTGTGTTTCTTCTTCCCAGGTAGTACGATAGCTCTTCATTCTGTGGGCTCTTCCTCCCAGTTGGTATGCATCTGGAAGTTGAACAATGATTAAAGATGGCAGAAGAAGAATCAATACCTTTGAGTTGCAGTGTTAGAGAAGAGTTCTGAATATCTCACAGATTGCCAGGAGAACAAACATGTCTGTCTTGGAGAAAGAAACTCCTTGGAGTTAAGGATGGTACAGTGCTGTTTCACATACCTGGGCATGTTGTTAGAAAGGACCAGTTGCTGGGAAAGGACATCGTTCTTTGAAAGCTGGAGGGTCACAGAAAGACACGAAGACCCTCAACAAGATGGATTGATACAGTGACTTTAACAGTGGGCTCAAATAGTTCAGAGGTGATCAGGAAGGCACAGGATAGAGCAACGTTCAGAACCGTTGCTCGAAGCATCACTATGAGTCATAGCTGACTCAGCTAACAACAACAACTGTAGGTAATAAGGACACTCCCTGGGGATAATAGGCTTGAATTTACGGTCTGCAGAGCCAGCCTTTCACCAACCAGTGCTTCTGATTCAAGGGAGGCATTAGAGAGATGTATTCACTTAGCAAGTCAACATATGGTCAATAGGAGCTGCAGTTAACTCCAGAGCATATAACAAAAATAACAACCTCTCATTTGATCGGCGGCAGCTCCGTCTGCTGCAGAGGTCTCTAAAGAAATCTGGAAGTTCCCAAGGACTTTACAAGACTTCACACGTCCAGCCACTGCTGTGACTAGAATCTTCAGTTTTATTCCCTTTCTCATGTTCTGGCCTGTCGCTGAGTCCAGACCAAAGTAACAGGCTACCTTTATTTCATGAGATAAATGCAAATGGCAAAAAGCTGTTGCCCTCAGAAAACTGAGGTTATGTTACTGGTTGAGGCTACCAAGTCTAGTCCTACAACCCCTGGGATAGTTCTTTCCCCTGAAAATCCTCAGTTTCAAGCCTAACTATGAAGTCATCCAATTTGAACCCAGCTCGGACATGTGCATTTTAGCCGAGAGAATACCTAAAAGAAATCAGAGGCCAATCAAAAGACGTCCAGTTTGAACACAAATCCAGATGCATAGAGTTGGAAAGGATGTGTCCATGACTACAAGTCAGTAGGGAGTGAAGGTGATAAACTTAGCCCACGGCCAGGTGTAGGTGATGTGGGGAAACGCCCCGTTTCATTCACACTCATCCCCAGGCACAGATCAGCACTGACAGGGCAGCGCAGGGACCCTCGGACTGGGTACCACCTCTCGGAGCCGCCGGGAGGTCCGGCAGAGGGACCGGCGGGAGGGGCTGAGGGCGCCGCTGGCATCGCCACCACCCAACCCTAGAGCCCCCTGGGAGCCAGGGGCGGGGCCTGTAATCGCTCCGCCCCCCAGCCCCCCCCGCAGGCCCCGCCCCCACCGCCCGCCACTCGGCCCACCTGACCTGCCCGCGGCTCACGTGATCCGTCCCCAGCGCCGCCATCTTGGGGCTCCGGCTGAGGAGGGGGAGAAGCGGGGGAGACGAGGGCAAAGAACCGGGAGAGAGGTGGGCGAGGACGAGGGCAAGGGCACGGCTGGGCGCCTGGCCGGCCCGAGGAGGCTCGCGGAAGCAGCGGCTGCCGCCCGACCGCAGGTACGGCGTCCCGGGGCCGCCCCTCCGCCCGCTGGTCGCGCCGCCGCGAGCCATGTGCGTTCTCCCTTCAGGCCTCTCGCTCGGCGCCCGTTTCCTTCTCAGCCTGCTGACACCACACGGGGCTCACCCCGGAGCCCAGTTTCCGTCTTCCCTTTCAGTTCCCGGTGCCGACCACGGCAAGGCCTCTGGAGCCCTGAGCGAGGCGGGCCCGGGCCGCCCTGCCGCGGGGGTGGGGGCGGGGGACTCGCGGCGCCAGCGGCTTGTCACCCGGGGGCAGGCCGGTCACCCGGGGGCAGGCCCGCCTCGAGCGAGCGTGGCTGCCCGGCAGTCTGCAGATGGAGCTCACCACACTGTCCTCGCTTCGTCTCTTGATGACTTCTCAGCCCTCAGCGTTCCCAACCTTGGAGCAGTTGCCTGGTGTGTAGGGGAGAAAACTAGTTGCAGAAAAGCAGTCCGTCCTCTTCCGTGGAACCCCCCGACATCGCTGCGACCACGGGCACAGCGCCTGCCTGTTAAGACCTGGGGCCACCAGCGCGGCCAGGGTGGAGGCCGTGACCCCAGCCTGTAGGCCACCTCTTTACCCCCCTTTCCTCTCTTGCAGCGCGCTGGCAGTTGCTGTGTGTCAGCTTCGCCTCTTATCAGGCACTTTCTGGCTTTATCACCTCTTGGCGTTTGTACTTTCTTCTTCACGCCTCTGCTCTGACTCAGTGTATCACTTGCACTAGTGAAAAAAGAAAGTGTCAGCCCTTCATTCCACCACTCGCTCTGTTAAAAAGACTCGCTTTTCTGCCGTGGCGGTGCGCGGTGTGGATTTATGTAACTGTAATCAATGAGGCAGCTGCAATCTAGGTGAGACCAGCTGCGATCTGGGTCAGAGGAGTAGAGGGATTTCGAGCTAGGAACATTACGAAACAGGAACATAATTTAAGACCCAGACAGCAAACAGCATTGAAAGATATATCGGTCAAACACCCCCCCGTGCCCTAGCTTTCCACACTTGTCATTCTGCCACTGTGTGTGTAAAACTCATATTTTCGGGAATATTCAAGTAGCAACATTCCATTTATTCTTCCCTGTTCATTTGAAAGTGGTATCCATAAAAGCAGTAGTATTTTTGTTCAGTTAGATACATTTAAACTTAAGACATAAAATACACAGCAACTGGATAGTTTCCAGAGCCATTGTTTTCTAATTTCTGCGGAATCCTCAAGTCTCCTTGATAAATGAAAAACTTTGCATCCCACAATTGAGTTGCGTGAACATTCTTCTGATTGCCTTTTAGACTTGGGACATTGGAGAAATGTTAACTTCCCCCAAGTGGTTACTTTTATTGTAAGAACATTACAAGAAAGAAATGTTTGATATTGTATACTTTTATTCTTGGCCACAGCTGGATTTTGAAGATTGATCCAAGGGACAGTATTAATTGCAGGAATTGATTTGAAAGACACTGGCTCTGGCACTTAACAGCCATGTAACCTTGGGTAAGTTACTGAACTGCACTGAACTGAGTATTTCCTTATTTGTAAAAGAATTTAACATCTACCCTGTCCCAAAGAGTTAGAAAACTCAAAACAAGTTAACATTTTTGATACAATCTAGCTGTAAGGGAATGATAATTCTTCCTAATATTGATACTTTATGCATTTTGTTGTCACTGAAAAATAAGAGGAAATTTGATACATTGTAGAAAGAATGAATTTAAAACCAGATAGGCCTGGATTCCAGTTATACATACTCACAGCAGTTGATACTTTACATGAGGCTCCTAATCTGCAAATAGAATCTAATATTACCAGGAATTACATGAGCATTTTAAAATCTACGTGACACTACTCCCTGGGCTATGAGAACCTCACAGACATTGCCTCCCTCTTAATCTTTTTCATAGTCTCCAACACTTGCTTGACACATTATAGGTGCCCAATAAATGTTAAATCTGAATATTGGTTACTTTACTTAGACCTTATGTCTTAATTACAGCTGCCAAATTAGAATACTCTCTCAGGCTAGGTGCCAGCTAAGAAATTGTAGGCTAAGAAATGCATATACTTTAGATATTTATGATAATTTTCTCCTTAGTGGCTACTAATAACCATGGTCTTACTCTGAGACACTATTGGACAAAGCTGGAAACCTCTCAGGATTTCCAAGGCTGTAAATCTTTGCAGAAGCAGAGAGTTGCCACATCTTTCTCCTGTGGAATGGCTGGTGGACTCAAACTACTGAGCTTTTGGTGAGCAGCTGAACACTGCTACCAGGCTGCTTTCACTAAACTCTGTTCATTGCTGGGGAATTGGAACCAGCTCATACTTAACCCATTAGTGGGTTTTCAGAGGCTGTGAATTGCTCTGGAGGAGATTGCCCATCTTTGTCCAACAGAGTAAGTTTAAGTCAAAGAAATTATAGCCAGCATTAAAAAGATAAGTTTATAAATAAAGGATAAGCAGTAGTAAAGTTTGTTTCTAGGTAATTTTTTTTCTAGATAGTATAGGGACTTCTAATTCATCTAGTTCAAACCTGTCATGTTACATCTGTGAATCTAAAATTCAGATGGACTTGTCTTGGGTGTCATACCTCTGTGAGGGTACTCTAGGAGAGGAACTCATGATTTTATATCCCTTGGCACCTTCTGGCTGGGGGATTAAGAAATGTTTTATATTAAAATAGGATAATCTGGAAGAATGGAGAATTGGTCAGCTTTCTTTTCATAGCATTTTTTTTTCTGGTAAGAAAAGAACAAATTCTTAGTTTAAAAGATGGTTCTTTATATCATACTGAACTGCCTTTATATATAAACAGAAAATTACAGTCTTTTCTCCAGTCCCATCCAAGCCCACATGAATTGTTCAACTTGATTTTACTGATGCTAACCACACTGCTATAACTGAAAGGAACTAATTAGATGCACATATAAACCAACTAGAAAATTATAAGGAAGTAAAGACAACTGAAATCATTTGTCTCGTAACTTTTCTCAGGAAAGGTATTAATTATACGCTTTTGCCTCTGGCATACTATTGTGGAGTAGTGATTTCAGAGACATAATGAAAAGGGCTGTAGAAATCTTCTGCTTTGAGATACAACTTTTATTTCTTTGTTTCCTTGTTTTTAACAGTTTAATATATTTGGGTTAAACATTGGTCTGTATGTCAAGAATTCCAAACAAGAACTTCCTAGTATTGCTGATTCCTTTCTGTTTTTCTCTGTCTGATGAACCTTCCTAATCGGCCATATTGATCTTTTCACTAACCCCTAGGCAGCAAGCATGTTTATTCTCTCTTCTAAAAGTATAGTAATGTTATGGCTGTCTTGCTTGTCAGTCTTAACCCACTGTCTCAGTATTTTAAGGAAACAAATGGCACACTCAGGATACTTCAAGAAAGTTCTATTTACAGATAGATACTAATAATAAAGGTGTAAAAGTCATATAAGGGAATCAGGAGAATGTGATTACCCCGAGCGAGCAGCATCAGGAGAGTGGAGAGACACTAGAACCAAATGGAGAGGCCTTTCAAGCAGCCTGCCTGGAAGGAGGTGGCCTCTGCCAAGGGAACAGCCAGACCAGAGTGAAGAAGAACTCAGAGGAGGATTATCATGACCTCACTCTACTGCTTCCCACACTCTGCACCACATCTTCCTGCCTTCTCACTGGCAGAACTCAGCCTAAAAGCATAGGTCAAAGGAGCCTAATAGAATCTCACCTGCGACAGAGAGCAGAGGGAGGAGGAGATCCTGAGCCTAAAGGGCCATGCTCAGCCTTTGGGATCCAGTGCATATAGTAACCCTTCTGAAAATCTGCTTACATCTTAGCCCCAAAGTGAGCGCTTCACTCTGCCTTAGAATTTGGGAGTTGAGTATTGTCTTGTGACTGCTTTACCTCATGTATTGTGTTCCTTAACCATGGTTCTACTCAACTTAGTTTTAGTCTAAGGACAATGAATATAAAACTTTTTCACCTTTTTTTCTGGTACTTAGGTTGATGTCTGGCACCTTTTATGAAAACTTAAAACATTTAAACAAATAGAATAGTGCTGTGATCTCCTAGGTATTCATTACTCATTCTAAGTTACAAAACTGCTGTTATTTTATTTATCTGTATTCAACTTTTGTCTCTCCCACCATGTTGGTTGGTTTTTGTTGATATTTTATTTTTTTATGTCTACATTGATCTCTTAGAGGCCCAGGATACAAGAAGAGCTAGCAACTGTGTTGTAGTCATTGAGCTTATGGGATTGTATTTGTACTCCTTTTGTCTCTTGTTAATAAATTTTCCTTCATTTGCTGCATAGTTCCTTTTGTGTGTTTGTGTTAGTGGTCTTAGTGAGATTTGGGGACAATTCGAAAAACTACTCTTAAGATAACTTCTCTGTGTATTCTGAATTATGAGCTTTTTATCTAACCTTTTCTCCTTTTTTTGTTTATGTTTTAATGAGATTTAATATGTGCATTGATTTTGCATGTGGACACAAACTGGCTTTCAGGTGTGTCTTGGTGTATTTTATGTTGTCATATCTGTTTTATAGCCACCATTTCTATACTTATTCCCAAATGTATGCGTTCTCTAAAATGAGATACTTACATAAATGTTCAGGGGAAATTGGAGCATCTGCTGCAAATTTCCATTAGCTGTTAATGCCTGAGCAGACACAGCTTTACAAATCTGAATGTTTTGTCACATTCTTTTGTATTAGTCTTTTTCTTGAGATAAGATGAACTCCTCCTCCTCCTCTTCATTCCACTTTCTTTTTAAGGTTTATACTGAAATAGTCACAGGGAGCAATTTGCATTGTTCTGTCTCTTTGCTCTTATATTGTTAAGTAGAAAAGAGGTAACAGGAGTCACCTTTGAAACCTTGTGGGTTTGCAGAGTATGTTGAGCAAACATTCTCCTGTCAGCCTCCGGATTATCCATCATTCTCTCTGGACATGTTATCTCACAGGGAAAGAAACTTACATAGGTCTGCTTTAGAGTGCCACGTCATGGAAAGAAGATGAGGGATCCTCATCACTAAACTTATTTTGGACTAATTGCACAGTTGAACTCAAAGGAAATAGAAACTGTAAGTGACCCTAACAGGTGTCACATCAGTAGTCACATGAGGGCTGAAGGACCTCGTCCCCCTGGCTTGCACATGTGCACAGATGAAATCACAAAAGGGTTTTTCTGAAGGAAATATATTCTTCTTCCATTGGTCTTGTCTTTAGTCAACTATGGCTGAACTTAGAGATCCCAGTTGACTTTTGTTCTGACTCCTTGAGAAAGATGTAGAGAAATTTGTGTTTCTGAGAGGTGGTGTAGTTGACCGTGGGGGCAGGGCTTTGGGAGCTGGGCCAGCTATTCCATAGCCATCACTGTTGTAATGCCTGTGGAATGCACGTCCGGTTAAGAGGCAATTGGTGGAAAATAAGCTGATCCCTCTAATCCATGGGGCCAAGTTAGGAAGGAAGGGAGGGAGAAAGCACTCCAGATGCTTGCCAGTTGATTTCCCATGAGTTCTAGAACAGAACTGATCTCAGGTTGTCCTGAGCACTTGTGATGAGTAGTTAAGTGCTAGGCTGCTAACTGAAAGGCTGGCAATTTGAACCCACCAGCAGCTCTGCACCTAGAGGTGGTCCTGTAGAGGTGGCAGCCAAGAAAAGCCCATGGGCCAGTGGTGCTCTGTCACATGGTGTATCTCTGTGAGTGGAAATTGACTAGGCAGTGCCTTACCACAGTCCTTAGAGAAATACACTGCCAGATCGTTTTACTGTGGCACTGTTGGCAGGGCTCGAACCACCAACCTTGTGGATAATAACTGATATCAAGCTATTTGCACCAACCAGGGATGGAGAAAGGAGGGGGGAAAGTAATATTAAAGAAGCAGAAAGTAAAATGTTTGCATTTTTGCCTGATATGGACCTAGATACAGAAAGCTTATGTATGTGAGGGAGTAGAAAATAAGAGGGAGTGAGCCAAAACTGCTGCCAAGATTTGCTGTGAGTGAACAGGCGCTGAAGCTGGTTGGAGCACGGGTGGGGTCTGGCAGGACAGTTTGAACCTGGCAGAGTCCACAGGACCCTTCCATATTATTGCAGCAATCTGGGGATGAAGAGGGAGCCATGATTCACTACCTAAAATAAGAATTCAGAGCCTGGGACTTAAGTTTAAGAATAGTATAGGTCTCTTTGGTCTACAGCTTGTGCCATTAAAATCTTGCTGGCATTTATTGAGTGTTGTTAGTAAGATTCCAGAATGCACCTAAAATGTGGAAAAACATAACTTGTTACTGGAAAAAAGCCTAAACTTAAAAATGTAATCCAAGTCAACAAATTAATCACACTTTCAGCCAAAGGAGATGTTTGAAAAGGAAATACTGCCAGGAAAAAAAGAGAATATTTGAGACTTAGACTGCAAGATGTATGAGTATTTTATGGTTAGTGATTCCCCTGGAATGTACAGTTAGAACCTACAGATGACCCCTTATAAGGATGGTGTTCATATCTGAACTAGAACCACTCCTGGAATATCATTTTTTCCTTTATCCTCTTCCCTTTCAGAAAGAAAGAAAAAAAAAAAATATATATATATATATATATATATGGATGTGAGTAATTGTTGACCACTAATACGACCTCTAGAAAAAACCACAGTGTAGTTTGTGGTTTATCCTCAGGAAGATAAGTCAAGGGAAGTAGAAGAAGGAAGTAGATCATTACATTTCTGTAGTTTCATTTGTGTTGTACTTCTCAAAATTTGCTAGGCCCTTTATAGTGGGTTACATAACTATTCCCACAGCTGCCAAGATTGAGGGGGAGAAAAAAACTACAAATTTTTGGCTCTGATGGCAGAATTCATAGGGACTTGTACTGCTAACTGCATTCAGGCAGCTTGAATCTACCAGTAGCTCTGAAGGAGAAATATGAGCAGTCTCTTCCTATGCAATTTATAGCCTCTGAGAGCTGCTGAAGGGTCAGCTTTAAGTAGATTCTGAATTAATAGCAACTTAAAAAAGAGAACAGGAGAGATTAATAAAACCATCAGTTATATTTAGCCTAAGTAGAGCACTAAGGAATGTGTCACTCACATTTGTAGTGATGTTGGAGAGTACCTTGGGATTGTGCAAAAGGGAAGGAGTACTGAGTAGGCCCAGTTGAATGTTAAGGGCTAGGAAGATAAGGAAAAAGGAGAGAGAGATTGCTCCAGTTATTTCCACTCATTTCACTCATCAGTCTTGATAGAAGAGAGCATTGCAAAGAAAAGGTCTAAATGATTTACTTTTGTGTTGGAGATTCATTGATATGAAGCTTCTGTGCTGGAAGAGTCTTAGAGATTAGCTTGTTGTTGTGCTTTGGAGTTGAAACTGATCCATAGCTGATCATCCAGAAGGTTTTCTGAGGCATGAAATCACACAGGAGATTGCCCGTCTTTCTTTTGCAGAGCAGGTGGTGGATGTTAACCACATACATTTGCGTTGATCGCACAGTTCCTTATCACTGAGCCACCAGAGCTCCCGAGAGGTTAGCTTAGATACTAAAACTAACTTAAAGTTCATGAATTACGTGTAATTGTTCTGTGGGGTCCTCAAGTGGTGCAGACCACTAAATACTAGGTTGTGCATAAGACAAGCCTGGTGGTCTGCGTGAAAACAGTAGTCCTCTCTGCATACATGGGGTCATCGTGAGTCACAGCCGACTTGAGGGCCCCTAACCACCACACTATAACCTGGTTAATTCTCTCTGCTTTTTCAGATATGGAAGAAAGCAGCAGTGTTGCCATGTTGGTGCCTGACATTGGGGAACAGGAAGCTATACTGACTGCCGAAACGGTCATCAGCCCCTCATTGGACATTGATGCACAAAGAAGAACAAACAAAACAGATCCATTGATCCACGTTATCCAGAAGTTAAGCAAGATAGTGGAACATGAAAAGTCCCAAAAATGTCTTTTAATTGGCAAAAAACGCCCACGTTCAAGTGCTGCAACACGCTCCCTTGAAACCCCAGAATTTTGCACCATCCCAGCTAAAATCACCCCATCACCAGCAGGTGTTATCAGAAGACCTGAACTTCCGCAAATGAATTATATCCCTGACTCTCTTGCCCAGAACGATGGGAAGGTGATGTCTTACCAGTGTAGCCTTTGTAAGTTTTTGTCATCTTCCTTCTCAGTGTTAAAAGATCATATCAAGCAGCATGGTCAGCAGTATGAGGTGATATTAATGTGCTCCGAGTGCCATATTACTTCCAAAAGCCAAGAGGAACTTGAAGCTCATGTGGTAAATGACCACGAGAATGACGCTAGCCTTTACACACAGTCCAAAGCTCAGCAGTGCATGAACCCTCCCAGCTCCCTGTGTCCGAGAGTCATTGAAAGAAATAATGACACTATTGCTGACATCCCAATACACGTGGACATTCCGCAGACACAGACTGTCCAGCCGGCAGCTGCGGCAGAAATGGGCAGGCGGAAGTGGTACGCATACGAACAGTATGGCATGTATCGCTGCCTGTTTTGCAGTTACACTTGTGGCCAGCAGAGAATGTTGAAAACTCATGCTTGGAAACACGCTGGGGAGGTTGACTGCTCGTACCCAATATTTGAAAATGAAAATGAGCCTCTAGGCTTGCTGGATTCTTCTATGACTGCCGGGTCTAGTGGCGTCGATGCAGTCGTCATTTCCATCGGAGAGAATGAACTTAGCATCCAAAATGGGCCATCAGTTCAAGTGCAGATTTGCAGCTCACAGCCATTGTCCTCGTCTCCTTTAGAAAAGGGCACCAAGAGGGCTGTGCACCTAAGTCAGTCAATTGCCCTTGACCCTGGCGAGGAAGAAATGCTGGAGGTGATTTCTGATGTAGAGGAGAATCTGAACGCAGACAGCCTTCTGTCATCAGCACAGAAAATCATTAGTAGCAGCCCAAATAAAAAAGGCCATGTCAATGTGATAGTGGAGCGCTTACCAAGTGCCGAAGAAACGCTCTCACAGAAACGTTTCCTCATTAATGCTGAACTTGAGGAGGAAAAAAACAGCCCTATTGAAGCACGGATTGGGTGTGAAGGAGCAGATGAAGTTTATCGTGCTGATAAATGTACTGTTGATATTGGGGGGTTGATTATAGGCTGGAGCTCTCCAGAGAAGAAAGAGAGTGAGTTAATAAATAAAGGACTGACTGCTGATGAGAATGCCCCACCAGGCCGCAGGAGAACTAACTCCGAGTCTCTTAGACTTCACTCACTCGCTGCAGAAGCCCTGGTCACAATGCCTATAAGAGCTGCAGAGCTGACGCGTGCCAACCTTGGGCACTATGGGGACATAAGCCTTTTAGATCCAGATACTGGACAGAGACAAGTAGATAGCACATTGGCAGCGTACTCTAAAATGATGTCTCCCCTTAAAAACTCTTCAGATGCATTGACTAGTTTCAACCAAAACAACTCTACCTTGGTAGAGCTCCCTGAAGACAAGCAGGAATTGTCAGATGGGCAAGTAAAGACAGGCATCAGCATGTCCTTGCTGACTGTCATTGAAAAGCTGAGGGAAAGGACAGACCAAAATGCTTCAGACGACGACATCTTGAAAGAGCTACAAGATAATGCCCAGTACCAGCCCAGCAGCGATACAAGCTTGTCAGGAGGCAGCTTGGTGGAGTACATCCCCGACGCTGACCGCCCCTACCGCTGCCGTCTGTGTCACTACACAAGTGCTAACAAGGGCTACATTAAGCAGCACTTGCGAGTCCATCGTCAGAGACAGCCCTATCAGTGTCCTATCTGTGAGCACATAGCTGACGACAGCAAAGATTTGGAGAGCCACATGATCAACCACTGTAAAACGAGAATATACCCGTGCAAGCAGTGTGAAGAAGCTTTTCATTATAAGGTGAGGATCACTTCATGAAATCTTTCAGAGGAGTTTAGAACCAGGCAGGACTTTGTAGTTCTAGTCCCACCACTTCATTTTTTAGATATGGACAGGAGAGCCCAGAAAAATGTGATAATTTCCCCAGAGGCTCCCAACTAATTAGTATTAGACCTGGTATTAAAAATCTAGGTCTTTAGAATTTCTAATGCTTTCTGCTGCCTCCTCTGAATTTTGTCTTTGTATTTTGTTTAGATACTGTTTTTTTTTAAATTGCAGGGTGTTAAATTACAAAAAAATAAGCAATGGAGTAACACCATATACACTTTGGGCTTATACAGATTAAACCCTGAGTCATTGGTGGAAGGGGCCTGAATATATGTATGTTATTGTTGATTACCATTAAATCAGAACCAGCCCATAGCTGACCACAGCTGTAAATGGACTGTATTGGACATATTGAAAGACAGTTCTGTAGAAATAGAACCAGATATGTTTTATGAGATTTTGAAGGATTATTTTAAAGATTAAGACACTTGTCAGTTTAAGAGTCATGCAAGGAGTTATATTGGGAAGATAAGATTTTTGCTGTTAATACTGACTTTTGAACCAGTAGCTGTCTGGAAATGCTTTGTTTTGTAAAGGATACTTGGATTCCTTGAATTACTGGTTTAGAGCTTTTCCTCTTCAGTGTACCAGTTGACATGGGGCTAATTGAGATACAGACTTTTCCTTTCAGATTATTCTGAGTTAGAGTTTGTCTGATAGTAAAAATGAAAGAGCCTTGGATCAGAGTCACTTCGTGGGTGTGGGTATAAAATTCTGATGCATCCTCAGGCTCCTAGACAGATACTGCATCCTACAGGCTGTGAAGGTAAATTCCAGGAGTTTCTTTTACTGTTCACTCTTGATTCCTGGGTGCAGAGGTAGTGGACGGGGGTATTTGTGGAGGGAGTAACCCAGTTAGACCTCTATTATATATTTAGTTATTATTCACAGGGAGGGGAGGGAATAGCAGGAGTTCTTTAATTACTGATTGGCCTTTTTTTTTTTTTTTTTGTAAGAGCTGAGTTATTCTGAACACTTGCTCTTCCCTTCTTTGGATCAGCCTGAGGTTCAGTGAGCATACATATACTATACATAAATACTCCTAAGACCATGGTGGGTGGCTTCCTTTCAGAGTATTTGAAAGGGTAGAACTGTCCCTTGACGAGATGAGGATTTCCCGGGCATATTGCTCTATGTAAGCTGTCAAATAATCATTTAGAGGGTTTTAAAATACTACTAGCCCATGAAAGCAAATAGCTTCTGCTCGCTGTTGCCTCCTGGTCACTGGACATGTGTACTGCAGATGACACTTAATTGTTCTCAATTTTTCAGAGCCAACTGAGGCATCATGAGAGAGAGCAGCACAGCCTTCCGGATACTTTATCAGTAGCAACCTCTAATGAACCAAGAGTGTCTAGTGACACAACAGAAGGAAAAAGTGTTCAAGAAGGTATCTGAATTTTCCTTTTATTATTCTGTAGGCTACCCTGACCAGCATAAGAAGCTTTAACATGCCCTTAGTTGTTATGTGGGTTACTTTCAGGATTACAGCTCTGTGTATTTTTAGCTCTTGTTACACTCTGTCTGTTAGATCTCTCTGTTCATGAGGAAATTCCAACTACTAAATCAAATAGATGTTACCAGGTTCTAGGTAAAAAGTACTAGATTAGAGGTTAGTAAGAACTCACCGTCAGTTGTGTAGGTACATAATGATAGTTGAGATTAACGCATTCCTTTAAGAGCCAAGCCAAAACATAAACTTCTAGAAGTTGACATCCTAGCAAGCTACAGCAGCTGTGGCATAGAAAACAAGCATTCTCTCCCTCGCACAGTGCCAGGTGACCCATTGAGAACTTATCTTCTGGAGATGGATGATGAGCCCATACCTCAAATCCTAGTGGAGGCTTCCTGCTGTGATGTTACCCAAGTCTGACTGCCAGATTTTATCTGCATTATTTAAAACACACACAGAGGATCTTTTTATATACTAGTTAGGTACCAGTTGGCCGAGTTTCTGGTAATAGGAATATTAGCATGAAAAGATTTAATTAGAGTTCCATGAAAAGGCGGATGCCAGATCCGGACAATTAGGGAGAAAGCATAATAGCTGTGCTTCTTTACATCAGCTCACTTAAATTGATAAACTTTAAGTGTTTCAAGTGTGGTACATAGTGTTTATGGGAAATAAAACATACTGGGGTGACTTTCCTTTTTAGATTTCCTAAGAATTTAGAGAGTTAGAAACAACTGCAGAGTAAAATGTTTTACCATAATGTTTCATTAAATTATACCCCAGAAAACATAACTGATTCTAGAATGTTTGTGAAAGAACTGATTTTGACACCACTGTAGCACCAAAATTCCCTTGTCAAACAGATGTCATCCCTGTAAAACTCTCAAGAACAAAAGGAGTTTATGACACAGCATCTGTTTCTGCAATCAATGGCTGAGCTAAAGCAGTTTGGTTTCCCTTTTACAGAATAGCCTTAACTGCCTCCTTTTATTTTAATTCATTATGTTCCTATTTTCCCTTTGAAGGAGACATTAAAACATTTGATATGATTGAACCATAAATCTCTAATGAAGAAACAGTGGCACTACCTGCACTTCCTACTAGTGCTGGACTATTTTAAGCTGCCCAGTTGGGGCTAACACTTTATTGTAGTTGTGTGTTCAAAGGTAACAGTAGCTCAGAATAAAAATTACCAGTGCTGACTATGCTGTATCTGTCCACTATATTCCTTTTTTGTGGCATCTTTGCTTTGTGAATCATACTTTTTATTTACTAAAAATATAGATTTTAAACTGCTGTACTTCCCCTCCCTCAGCACACCTCCTTCAGTCTTTCACCCTGGCTCTATTTGCTTTTGTTAGTAGAGTAACAATTCAAGTGCCTGATGTCTCTCTGCATACTTGTACAGAATAGAGTTGGTCGTTGTCCTAAAGCCGTCGCTAGCTCACAGTCACCTCACATGAGCAGGGTAGACTTGTTCCATGCGGTTTGCCAGGTTGTGACTTTCAGAAAGTGGCTTGTCTTGCCTCTGAGTAGGTTTGAACTTCTAGCCAGCAGTCAAGCACTTAACTATTCCCACCACCTGAGCCCCTGCTAATAAAGTACTGGTACCGTATTCATTGTCTGTTGTTGCTGTTAGTGTCCATCAAGTCGTATGACTTATAGCAACTCTAAACAACAGATCTGAACTATTTTATGTGAGGCATCCTAGCTTCTGATATGCTTGAGCCCATGTCACTGTGTCAGTCAAGCTCATTGAGTCTTCCTCATTGTTTTTGAGTACCATCAAGTCAGAACCAACCCACAGCTGACCCTGCACTGAGTTTTCAGAGACAGTTCGAGTTTTCAGAGACAGTTAATCCACAAGAAGAGATTGCCCATTGTTCTCCTGTGGAGCAGCTGGTGGATCCAAACCCTATGCCTTCAGGATGGCAGTACAGTTTCTTACCACTGGGCCACCAGAGTTCCCTATTAGGTACTTCAGAATATGATTGTTAAGCCAAAAACCTAAGTTTTTGGCTCACAAAAAAAAAGGTAAAAATAGTTTATGATCTGTTAAAACATCTTTAACTATTTAATAAACTGATTACACAAGAAAGGGAGAAATGAATCTTTGGTACCCAGTCTTTGCCCATTAAAATAGCTCAGATAGCTTAGCCCTTACTTCAGGCTCATTACTGTTGTTGCATGTTGTCAAGTCAGACCACCCCATAGCTCACCCTGCACTGGGTTTTCAGAGACAGTTTAATTGCACAGGAGGAGACTGCCCCTCCTGCCACGGAGCACCTGGTAGATTCAAACAGCATGCCTTTGAGATTGCAGTGCAGCTTCTTACTACTAGGCCTGTACAGCTCCCGGGTTCATAGGTCCATTGCAAAGTCAGACTTGAGACAATGTTTCTTCCTAAAGGCACAGAGTGCTTGTCTTGTGCTGGGCACAGTGCTAGGTCCTAAGAGCACAACAAAGGGCTCACTGCCCTTGAGGAACTCATCCTAGCTAAGACGACAGAACTGTGAACCCCCAGACACAACAGTGCCCTGTGAGAGCTATGGGCAGAGTACTTTCATGTAGTGTTTCTTCATGAAATTCATTTGCCTTGTTTTTTATAGGAAACCTAAGTTTTCCCAAGCCTTAAGGGCTCACTGTAAGGAAAGGGTGCAGATCCCATCCCTGCCATCAGGGATCTACAGATTAGTAATAAGTCAAGGACTTAGCACAGACATGCAGGTGATGCGCAGACTGCCGTGAGGAGGACAGGGTCCTCCGGGACTTGGTAAACATTATGGGCTCCCTTCCATTCTGTAGCAGAGGAAACAGACCTCAGGAGACAAGGAGACCATGAACACACTGGTAGTAAGTGGCAGAACAAGGACTCAAACCAGGTTTTTTAACTTCATATTCAACATTCTCTTCATTGGAAACATTTGCTTAAAGTAGCACAGGCTCTCGTTCTGTGCTATATTAAGTTTTCCCATCTGTCATTTTTATTAGTTGTCATTGATCTGTAATATTTCTCACACAAAACCATTATCCAATATTTCACACTTCAGGGTTTTTTTTTTTTTCAGAGGTTTAAAAAATTGTATTTGGAACTGTTCCACTTATAATCAAGTCCAAGTTTTTAACCTACCAATTAAGAGCAATACTTAGATTATAATTATGATTAGTGTGTATATTAATGTTATAGATTTATACCAGCAAATTAGGACATTTTGTTCTGCCTAGCAGTAGTTATTAGCAGAAGAAAATTTCTATTTTAGAAAGCTTAAATTTAACTTGTTTTCTTTCTTTCACTGAAATTTCAGTGTGGGTTTTCTTTTGTACCACCAAGCGTTCTCCTTAAGCTTTTTTCCTTCCAAAGGCACCCACAGCTCTCCCTCCCCATTCTGCCTTTCTCTGGTGCCGCTTGCTTGAGTCTGAATCTAGAGTAATCACAGTGTGAATGGCCTGTGGCCTTTGTTCTGATCCAATACTGGCTGCAACTTTGAATGTCTTAGGACTGTTTCATATGATCAGGTCATTCAGCCCACCTTGCCACAACTTTATCCCAACTTGAATTTTCCCAGCCTTACTATCGTAGGGGGAATTTTATTGCAGAGGGAGGCATGTCTTGTTTCCATGTTCCTTGGATTTTAGGGAGTCACATCTTCACATTCACATGATCTTTGCCCTTTTTACCTGTCAGTTTATTAGCTGCAGTTATCCTCCATTATATAATTTGCAGACATTTATAAACAAAGAAAACTCACAGGATAATAATACTTTAGCTTTTTTAATGAGCTTGCTATATATGATTTGTGGTCACACTTTATAATACTGGATTATCGTGTTAAATTACAACTTGTTTTCTAAATATTGGATACTGATTAGACTTAAGATATTTTGAATCCACAGTTTAGTTGGTTAAATTAGTTGCTATATGCATAGTTGGACAAACATCTTAGGCAAAGTAATTATAGTCTTCAAATTTTGTAAAAGGTTATGCAGAAGTCAGTCCAACCAGTTTTACAATCACAAATCAGTGTTTGGTTTAGATTTGCTGATAGTTCGGATGCAGGAGACCTATAAGCTCATACTCAGACTTGTTAACGTGAAGTAAGAAGAAAGCCTTTATGAAAGTTTTTGAACTGTGTGGTGTACATATTCATTTACAATGGAATGTAAATGCTGTAATTTGAATCTTACCTAAAGCATGCTGCTAAAATTCTGAAATACCTTGTCTAGGGAATAAGTCTTCAGTCCCGAAACAGTATAGATGTGATGTGTGTGATTACACAAGTACAACCTATGTTGGTGTCAGAAACCACAGACGAATCCATAACTCTGATAAGCCATACAGGTAAGTGACCTAATCAAGAGTGTCAATGCTTACATTAAATGTTTTTATAGTGGATTAAAAAAGTAGATATAATTTAAGAATTCATAAAACTTGTTTAAATATAGGTTAAGAGCTAAGAAATTTTGCACTTGCTGTTTTCATCAATATTGTAAAGTTTATTGAAATGTGTATGAACTTGAAACTTGAGTTTTAGGACAATAAACATTTTATACAGCTGAAAGATGGAAGTTGCCTATAAATGTGGTTTTTATATTTTCCATTTCATTTGAGTGTCAATCTTCTTAGTGATTTTTAGTGAACATTTCAGTAATTTGGGAGCTCAGTACTCAGTATCTCAGCAAAAGATTCTTAAAATCTAAAAGCAACAAAATTTCTTTTAAAAGATTCATTTTTTAAAATTAATCTGTCATATATAGAGTAAAATAATTTCATTTTGGTTCTTGATTTTTTTTCAAGTTGCTTTCAGTATCTCATTTCAGAACGATCAACCAGGACAGGCTGATCAACAGAAATCATCATTTTCTCAAGTTGGCCTTGTGAGAATAAAACTGTTGTTTATATATAGTGAAAGTGCAGGTATTTTTACACATAGTCTGTCTCACAGTCACAGAGTAGTTTGTTTTTCTTTTTTTTTTTTTTTTTTTTTTGCTTCATGCTTCATTTATTTCTACATAATAGTTTGTTTTTCTTGTAGCTATGTTGGAACACTCTCTGTAAGCCTAGCCAAGCACCGTGGTGGGGGAGTGCTGGGCAATGATTAAGACCTTTTAACCCCTTGTTTAAAACTTGCTTCACATTTTAAATCTCTTGTATAGATGAGTGTGGAAAAGAAATAGACTACTATGAAAGTGAAAATAACCCCATAAATACAGCTCTGTGTATGCATTTTTGAGTATTAAAATATGCTTGCTTTGCTAACACACAGGCTTAAATTACAGTCACTCTTTAGGCAGTGCATATCAGTTTTGCAGTCTTGTAACTCTGAAAATGTTTGAACTTGCCTTGGTGTCTATTATTTTTTTCTTCCCAAATATTTTCAAACTTAAGATTTCTCAGAAATACAGTGAAGCCTTTCTTGAACCTTTATTAGCAGTAACAGTGTCATAGATTCTAGATAGGAGTGATGATCGTGAACGTGTATCCGTTTGTACAATTCACACTAGGAAGTGCTTAGGGGATCAGGATGGGAATGGAACAATACTAGTTCACTTGATAGGATGAGAAAATATTTTCTTTATATTTTGGGTCTTTTTATTCTAAGTTTAATAACATGCCATGTGATCTGGGCAGGAAAAAATAACACTCTCTGGATTGAAGAATTAGACGCTTTCTTCATGCATTGAACAAATACTTTGCTCCAGGAACTGTGCTAAGCTTTTGGACTGTAGTCATGACAATGAAAGGTACTCCTTTCACCTGTGGAACTTGTGGGCAAACAGTAAACAAATAAATTGTAACTCTGTGATGATGCATTTATGAAGCCAGCAACAAATGAAACCCCCAGGATAAAAATACTTAATTTTTTTTTAAATGAGCTTGCTATATAATTTGTAATCACACTGTGTTCTAAAGAGAACAGCCTTATTCTTGTATAAGAACCAGGCTACTCTGGGAATAGATCATTCTAGGACTGAATCTGAATTCTCTCAGAGGTTTTGAGGCCTTGTTTAAATTATTTTACTGCTCTGTACTTGGTTTTGTTATTTACAAAATGAAGATAATTGAAATGCTGTAGTATTTATCCTTTGTAAGTTTCTAGCACATAAGAAACATGTAGCTGTGTAATAGTTGTTGGACCCAGTTTATACCCATATTCTTTTGCAAGACTTATTTTCTGTTTAATCCTAAAAAAAGTAAAACCATTTTCCCGTTCCCCTCATTGACCTCTTAATCTTTAGGAAACAAAAGGCATTTGCTCCTGAGCAGCCAGGCATGGCTTATCCTGTGAGAGTTGATGCTGGGCCCACATAGAAACACCATCTCAGCGGAGATTGGTCTTCATCCTTCTGCTAGATTGCTTTGGAAACAACCATGGGTTGCCACACCCATTTTAGATCCCCAAATCTGGGCCACATGTCTTTGCCCTCCTTGATACTGCCAATTCCTGGCTGAATCTCCCTTTTTCCAAAGAAACTGGAGAGAAGACTGCTTAAGGCTTTGTGAGGAATGAGTTTATATTTTTATAAAGCACCCAGCTGGTGGCCTTCTGAGCTCATAAAGTATTGAGGTTGGAATTCAGCTGTTACCTTTGCCAGAATTGCTACCTGTGGGTTAGCAACATGATTATTTACAGACTGCACCCCTACAGCTTCCCTGTATCCTGATGTAGGACTGTAAACCGCTTTCTTCCCTCTGTATTGAGGTCAGAGTTTCTGAGGTGACCTCAACACTTCTGAAAATTAAGTCTGACAATATGTATACCCATGTTGAAATGTTGGCTTAAGTCTGAAAAGTTTCATTTTTAGAGGAAAACCATAAAGCAATTACCTTAATTTGAAGAAAGAGAAAATGTTTTCTTTCAAGGATGGATTAAATAAACTTATTCACAGTAAAAAGACTTTGGAGGTCCATCATGAAATTTGAAGTTGTCACTTTCCAGAGGCTTGGTTTTTGTGGGGGTTTTTGTCATTCTAGGTATAGTAAATTTTTAAAAGCAAAGGAATTAAAAACCATGTTGCAACATTTCTATTAAAATCTTTGTGAATGTTCAAATCAACTTCATGTTGTTGCCTCAAATCTTATAGGATGTTTAGGTTTTGCTTTTTTCTTTTTTTTTTTTTTAGCTAGCCTTTCAAGGGACCTGTTACTAAGTGGATCAGACCTGAAGATTAACCAAATAAGGTGTCAGGTCAGGGAGAATGGAGGTGCTAATCATTTTACACTCATTCACCTCCTTTCTTTTGCCTAATTGTACTCTCTCCAGAAGGATATAAGTAATTGTAGGGATTGTTAACATCCTTACTTTGTTCTTGAACAGGAAATATTTCTGCTGTTTCCTTGTTAAAACTTTCTACTAACTTTGTACTTTTCTTTACTATCATATTGAGGAATTTGGGGGGATTTTAGGTAAAAATGTAGATTATGTGTACAATCCAAGTGCTTCCTAAAATGTGATGATAGGAAATCCACAGTTGTGCTCATGAAGTGCTTAGGGGGATGGAGATAGAAATGAATCCTGACTGTGGAGCTAATGAAGCCACTAGGTCACCCCTTCTCAACCAGGGAGGATTTCACCCCCTAGAGGACATTTGGCATCTGTGACATTATGGGTTGTCACAGTTCACAGAGGACATGCTGCTGGCATCTAGTGGTTGGAGACCAGGGAAGTTGCCAGACATCTTAGATCAAGATCTACCAAGTAAAAGATACAAATCTCTATGGGATCCCAGATGGAGTAAGACATACTGTGAAAAGCAGGAAATTTGAGCATGGACTTGCTCTTCTTCCTCTTACTGTCATCCAGTTGGAGCCCACTCATAGTTGACCTGCAGCGCATTGCAGCACAGCCCAGCTTTCTCCAGCGGGTGCCTGCCTGAGTGGGTACACGAAGTCACCAGAGCACCCTTATATTCAGTGATAAAATGATTGTCTTTTTAGAGATACATATTACTTATAGGTAAAGTATGGTATCTTAAATTTCCTTTTAAAAAATTGAGGGATACGTGGAATAAAATTGGCCAATATCATTAATTGCTGAATCTGGATGATTTGAATTCATTTTCCTCTTCCTTCTATTTTTGTGTGTTTAGAATTTCCATAAGTTTTTTGAAAATGAATACTATATTTTTCAGATTTAATTTTTAGCAAAAACAAAAATAGGACTTTTCTCTTAATAGAGTTCCTAATATTAACTTGTCTGTATTCCTAGAATAAGACTCCCTTCATCATGGTGTGTTCTTTTAATGTACTAGGAGATTCTGTTTGCCAGCATTTTATTTAGTATATCTACATGGATACAAGTGAGATTGATCTGTAGGCTTCCTTTTTGTGCCGCCTTTGCCAAATTCCAGTATCAGTGTTCTCCTAGCATCATAAAAAGAATTTGAAAGCTTTTTTTAGTCTCTTGAATTTTTCAAGTAACAAGCTTATTTAAACCACAAAGAAGCTGGCTGTTCTCTATTGACATTAGGCATTGAAATAGTGGGCTTGTAGCACAGAGCACTAATATCTCACTTCTTTTTCTGCTTTCTTTTCCGAATAATTTATTTAAAAAAAGAGCCTATGCCAATGCACAAATGAGAGCTGTAAGGCTGTGTCCTCAGTGACCTTATAAAAAGCCCTGAGTGCCTAAAATTCTTGTACAAAGATGATTGTCCATTTTTTAGAAGTACACTTTTTGCATGAACAAATGAGGACATGGCAGGTGGAACTCCATTACTTCCATTTAGTGATGAACTCAGTCGCTGTTAAATATTTTATTATCAAATTTAAGTTATACTGGAACATATTAATAAAACAGTAGACTTAACATCCCAATTTTATTTTTTAAGAAGTCCACGTACATTACAAGTGAGGAAAATAGCATAAAAGTTATAATAGCTACATTTAAAAATAATGGGTGGTTTTCCTTTTTTTTGCTCCCCATATATTACTTCATACAGTTAATTTTTAAAATCAGGAAAATTATTTTAAGAAGTTAAGCTGTTACCTGGTGCTCAGCCCTTGGTTTCTATTCTCATTCTCTGGTGAAGGGAACCAGATAATCCAGCTGGCCTAATCTAGGACCGGGCACAGGGGGTATACAAGATGAGCCTGGAGTAAACTATAGTTCTAGCAAGTAGGGTAGTTGTCAGCAGACAAAGCAGTATGTCCAAGGGACATGGCCAACTGAAAAGAATCCACAGTGGTCAGAGTCCACAGTGGTCAGAGTTCGAGCAACAAAAAAATAGCACAGTACTCAGTTGTAACCAAATAGAAAATAACCATTTGTGGGTTTGTGCTGGCATAAATTATAATAGAAAGGTATAATGCACAAGAAGAGACAAATTATCTGGGCACATGAGTTCCAGATAATGTATATACTTAGCTCTCTAAGAGTTATATTATCATTTTCACCCCTTAAGTGTAGTCTGCACATAGAGATTTCCTTCCAAAGTATATGGTGTGAGAAACCAAAAACCAGACCCATTGCTATCAAGCTGATTCTAATGCCTGTAAAACCCTCTACCAGGTTTCTAACTCTTTGGGAGGAGACTGCCCATCTTTCTCCCAAGGAACAGCTGGAACTACTCACCTTTTGGTTAGCATTGTAGCTTGTCCCAACAGAGCATCTTATGACCTGGAAACAAGTAGAAAAAGAACAATTTTACAGGGAGAAACCTGACCTCAGTTAGGTGACAAGGTCAGAACATCAGCAGTGATAAGCTATGTGGATAGTGGGATGTGAGGAGCATGTCACCAACTTCTGTGGAGCTCCTCCCAAGAACCATATTTCAGTCTAACCCGGAGACAAAAACCAGACAAATCCTGACAGGAGTGAGCATTTGTTTCTGGTATTTTAACAGTTTAAATGTGATGACATACAAATCTTTGGGGTTTTTTTTTTCATTAGTAAGCTAATTAATTAATGACAAATAGAGCTGTGTTTCTTTTAACTGCTATGTCATGTTCCATTATATGAAAAGTTGGTTTTTCTATCCTTTAGAAGAACAAGTAAGCTACATCGAATAGTCTTGGTGTCTTTGCCAAGCACATTACAAGAATGACTTCAGGGTAACTCAACTAACTCTTTGCCGTGGAGTCAAAACCAATTCATAGCTGACCCTCTATGGGGTTTTCAGAGACAACATGAGAAGAGATTGCCCTTCTTTGTCCTGAATGGATTTGAACTGCCTTTCACCAGAGTCCCCTAATGTTCATATTAAGCAAACTGTGTAGGGAGATTATATGGCAACTTTGACTCAACTTAGTTTTTCTATAAACCTAAAACTTGTCTCCAACAAAGTCTATTAATTATTTAATAGTATGTAATTATTTAATTTTGATATTACCAAAGGTACCTAATTATGTGGAAATATCTTTATTTTTAACAAAAAAATATATTTTCAGATTGCTATTTTTTAAGAATGTTGAAACTTTATTTTCTGTGAATCTGTAAATAAGAGTAAAGTTGGTGTTGAAGAACATTTTATTTCTGCGTTTTTTTCTCGATATTGTACGACCACCTTCTACCATCCAGTAGATTCTGACTTCCAGCAACCTGAAAGGACAGAGTAGGGAGCTCTGGTGGCTTAGTGGTAGGAATTGCAAAGCTACATGGTTCAGATCCACCAGTGGGCCTTGCAGAAGGATGTGCAGTCTCCTGTGCAAACTACTGCCTCTGAAAACCCTCTGGAGGGTGAGCTGTGAGTGAGTTCCAACCCCACGGTTGCTCAGGAGAGCAGCAGTAAAGGACAGAATAAACCTACTTCATAACATTTCCAAGACTGTAAATCTTTAAAGAATCGCACAGCCATGGATGGCTTTCTCCCACAGAGCTACTGATGATAGAACCCTGTTGGTTTACAGCAGAGTGCTTTAACCACTGTGCCGCTATGGACCCTCTAATGTTATAAAGTCTTGGTTTTGCATGTTTTTTTTGTGTGTAGTTAAATCATTTAGAACAAAGATTTTGTATGTATCTTTATTAGAAGTCTTGCCAAATAGTAACTACAGTAGGCTTGGATATGCGACTGGTACTAGTCAAGTTTCTAAAATGTTGTATTCTGTGAAATGCATTAAGGTAATTGGGCTTCAGGAGAAGGTACTTACTGTTACGGTAGCCCTGTGAATCCTGAGGCACTGTTAAAGGCCCGCCCTGATTTCCTCACTCTTGCCTTTCAGATGCTCTTTGTGTGGGTATGTGTGCAGCCATCCTCCTTCTTTGAAGTCTCATATGTGGAAGCATGCAAGTGACCAAAACTATAACTATGAGCAAGTAAACAAGGCCATTAATGAGGCAATTTTACAGAGTGGCAGGTATTTGTTCCAATTCCTTCCTCTTACTGTTATATATCAATTCAGTGTAAAATTAAAAATCTTAGTCCTCTTTCACAGCCAACTCAAGGTTTGGTGTGTTTTGTTCTGTGTGTGTTTTGTTTTTTTGTTTTTTTTCAAGAGTTCTGGGGAAATCCCCTGGCAAGGCTCTGTTAAACAGCAGTGAAGAGAGACCCGATTCTGTCACCGGAAGTACAGAGCACATGGTGGCATCCTCAGAGCTGCTTTCCCAGGCTCCCAGTGAAGTTGTAGGTCCCACCGAGAATGAGAAACTGAGCCCAACAAGGAATACCTCATATAGTTTAGAGAAAAACTCCAGTCTGGCCCCCCCTGGTATGGAATATTGTGTTTTACTCTTCTGTTGTTGTATTTGTGGTTTTGAATCAACCAGCAAAGAAAATCTCTTGGATCATATGAAAGAGCACGAGGGTGAGATTGTAAACATCATCCTCAACAAGGACCACAGCACAACTCTCCACACAAATTAGATGGAACAATTACGTGAAGGGGGAAAAGTTAATTCTTTTAAACAAGTTTTGCCTTTATGCTAATGTCAGATAATTTAACTAGACAAGAAATTGATTTTTTTTTCTTTGAGGAAATGACAGAGCAATTTTGGAAACAAACTTGTAATGAAAGAAATTCAACTGGGTAAGTGGTATATGTTTTTTGAGTGAAGGGATTTGGAAGAAGGAAGCAAAAATGCAACCCTGTATTAACCCCTTGTCACCCTTAGTGCTGAGTATTATTTATTGTAAAAAGCTTACTGTAGTGTAGACATGCAAGCTAAAGAGTTAAAAGCAGGCTTTTCCAGGAACTACTCTAAAACTTATGTTATACAGGTGTGACAGTTTTAAACTGAAGTTCATTTTCTTCATTCTCAACTTTGACATGCCAACTCTAGAACTCCAGGCCTCTTGAGATCAGTGGGAAGCAACTTAAAGGGTTTTTCCTGGTGTTACCAACAGATTCAAAGAGGAAGACACATATTAGTGAGCTTTGAATTTATATGCCTAATCTTGCCCTAAATTGGTGGGTATTGATCATATACTCACTCTATGAGACTACAAAGGAAAGGATGAAATAGCAAGACCTGTAAGTAAAAATCTGGTTTGTACATAGGCATTTAAGAATTAGATTAGTATCTTAAAGATCATTTTTGTGGGCAAAGGAGGGAGTAGATACATCTCCACCGGACTTCAGCCAGATCTCCAGTTCTGTGGGAGTGGTGCCCCGCTGTAGGCAGCACATGCACCCGACGTCCATTCAGAGTGTTTGTTGGCACACTATGCCCTCTTCCAATTAATCCTGTCTCCTAAGCTGGACCAAGCTTAGTATCTGAAAAAGTGTTAACACTGCCCATTGTTATCAGACCCTGACAATAGATTGAACTGAAAAAAACTGGGGGATGAAGAAATCCATATCCCCTTTAACTATTGAGATTTTTCTTCCCAAAGTTTAGTAGCCTATTAAACATAAAGGGAAGAAACAAATGGGGCTAAGAGATGATTTTTTTTAAAAAAAAAGTCAGGTGGTTTGTAAGTTTTCATAACACACAGCATCTGGCACATCTATATGGTTTCTCTTCTCTAGAAAATTCCATTGTGTTAGGATCATGTGGAACAAGCTTCCCTTTTGTTAGGGACAGGACATATGGAAACCATTCAGGAGTGCTTTTGCGTTAAAGCCTGTCTTCACATAGGTATAGTCTTTTTCCTCCACCATTACATATTCTGTGTCATACGTAAGAAGGTTCAGAATGAAGGGAAGCGGGGTTTAGTTTTGTCCTTCTGGTTATTTATTTCTGTGTGATCCTGTTTAAGAATGTCTGCCTGCAAGTCTGAAGGCTGGTGCACCACTCGGTGCACTGAGCTCCTGGTGCTATTTCTGAACTTGATTTCTAGCATCTTATATAGTTGAAGCTGTAATAATTAAATTTAGAAAGTTGGAGAAGAGATTTTTGGAATTGGATTCTTTGAAAACACATTTTAGGAGAATTCTGTACCTAAAGTCCAGGTATGAACAGAATCAATTAACATTTAAGATAGTGTTTGCAACAATTTAAAAGGGGCCAGGCATCTTGACATTTTCTGATTTGTTACTTAATCTCATTATGTTGTTACTTAAAGGATTGTGCTTGCAGTTCATTGATTTAGGTAGCTTTATTTATGAAAAAACAACTCATTTTTATAGTATTTTTTAACAATAAAATGAATTTATATATACTAAATTATATTCCCTGAATCCACCATGTGTGGATTTGTATTAATTTTGTCCTGTTTCCAGAGTTGAAACATGTTTAGTTTCAAATGAAATATTTTAAATGGTTCTACCTTCATATTTTTGCCACTGATACAGTAAATTTTTTCATCGCTGATAATTGTGGCTCAGTATTTCTATGTAAAAAGCTATTATCCTAAAAAATGAACCATCTTAGAAAAGTTTTGTTACATAAATTTTCCTTTAGCTTTATTTTTATGTAATCATTTGGAAACTTCTAATAACCAAAAAACATCCAAAGTTATTCAACAATATGAATTTTCAGCTTGCCTTTCTTATTTCCTTAAAATGTTTTTGTTGAATGCTATTTAGATTTCCATTTAGAATCATGAACTTAAATTTTCCTTAGTAATGAGAAAAAAATTTTTAACCCTGAAGTTCAAGTTCATAGCCTTTAAACTTTTCCCTGATTGGCTCTCATGTCCTCAAATGCTTTCTCCTCACCTGTAGGAGGAACCACCCACCAACAATGTTCTACCTTTTCCTGTTATTATTTTGTGGCAAGCCTTAACAGAGTCTTTACCAAGAACAATTGAGTATTTCTAAGAGTAATAATAAAGATTAAATATGCAATTGTAGAAGAGCTATGTATTAAAATAAGCAGTAGAAAGCCTTTTTTGTAGGAATACATATTTATTGGTAACTAGACCATTTGTCATACAGAGTTCATACTCACTGGTTTATTCTGCCCTGGACACTTAAGAGTTCTAAGATATGATGTGAAAATTATTTTGGAAAAAACTTAGTAGATAAAGCTGGGGAAGGGGAAGAGAATTCATTCTGATTATTATAAATTAATGCTCTTCAGGGCTCTATGGTTTTCTACCTTTCTCTGAAAATCCAGAAATATGATGTCCAAACATACATTTATCTGTAGAATGTTAGGTTCTCTGACCAGCCAAGACGTGCAGTAGAGTGATACTGACTGAAAGCCTTCATTTGAAACCTTTCATTCTATTCAAGGTAGCTGTTAGTGGTTTAATAATTCATTTCTCTTTTCCCCACAAAGCCAATATGGTAGACATCTGTATTTAGATTGTATCTTCCACAGTGTGCTTAGCTTGAGAAAGACAAGCAGGCTTCTCTCTTAAGACCTGTTTATAATTTTCTTTTCATAGACACATATTTAATCTTTTTGTTTTTTACTGTACAGCAAGGTGCTCTTAAGTAATGTTCTATAAAATATATTTAATAGAAATTTGAGTTTGATATTCATGGACATTAATACATGTATTTTTTTAAGAAATAAGTATTGTGTAACACTATGGCATTGCTTCTGTAGCCAAAGTATGAAAGTTCTGGAACACTGACATGTAAAGACAAAAGTTAATTCTGACATTGTATTTTATTAAAATAGGATGATTTGCATTTTTTTAAATTATCCTGCACAGCAAGCTGCATGCCTTAAAACCTAAAAGACTCTAGGATTGCGTTCATGGTGGAACAGTTTATCTGTTCAGAACAAACAGTGAAGCAAGGTTCACAGCGCTTCTATAACTACCTTTGGAAATACTGTACAATGTTAGAATAATTTATTTTGCTTTACAGGAATTTGTCATGTATTGACTTTAATATTGTATTTTGGTAATAAATTTTTTGTTAAAAATATTTGCCTCTAAGTTTTATTACAGAATTTTATGTCCATTTTTATTTTGGGAATGTTGATTTACTCACTTGGAAAGTTGCGTTTAGAAATTGTAAGTTTGACAAGAGTTAAGCTAAGTCTAATGACTGATTATTCTTTGACAATTTGTTAAAAACTATTGCTGATGAGTGTTAGTCTGTGCTACATGATAGTAGGAAAAAAGCAGTTAGAGGATTTTAATTTTTAATCTATAGTCTTAATTTTGGCACTTTTATCCTTCCCATTCAGGTTCAGCATTGTGTCTTCCATGTCACATTCTTGTGTTACATGTTTTCAGTTTTTATATAATCAAAATGCTAAAGACTAGTTGATTTTTTTGCTAATATCATTTAGCAGTTTTTAGACCAAAGAGTCACCTTGGTCCTTTTGTGGTCTACATTGAGTATTTTCTGACCTTTGGATTTGTTGTATGCCATTCTCAGTTTAAAGTGACCAAGGCCAAATTTTTCTTCTCAACAGCTGTAATCTCTTGCCCTCTGTTCAGTGGGGTAACATCAGATCCCCTATTTTTCAACAACCAGTGTCAATGCTATGTCGTGAAACCTCAGATTAGTTGTAGAAATCCCACCATGTGAGGTCTAGGACATCACTGTCCAACATGGATGCCACTGTCCCATGTGACACCTGAACACTTGAAATAAGGCTAGTGTGCTGTAAAATACATATCAGATTCAAAGACTTGGTATAAAAATGTAAAGTATCTCATTAATAGTTTTTTTATATTGGTTACATGATGAAATGATATTTTGGATATGTTGAGTTAAATAAATATATTATTAAAATTCATTTCACCTGGTTTTACTTTTTTAAAATATAATTGCTATAAAAACTTACACCACATATGAGTTTCACATTTTATTTTGGTTGAACAGCACTATTATTGTTGTTAGGTCCCATTGAGTCAAGTGCAACTTACAGCAACCCTGTGAACAACAGACCCGAATCCTATCCTATCCTGTGCCATCCTTCTGTCTGACACACTTGAACCCAATTGCATTCACTGGGTCAGTCTACCTCATTGATGGTCTCTTTCTCTTTCACTGACCTACCACCCTTCTAAGCATATCCCTTTCTAAGGAATACCTTCCATGCCCAAAGTATGAGAGACAAAGCTTCACGATCTTTGCCTCTAAAAAGCACTCTGGGGGGAAAAAAGCTCTCTGGCTGCATTTTTCCAAAATGTACCTGTTCTTTTGGCAGTCCATGTGATCCTCAGTACTAAAACACTACAATTCAAAGGCATCAGTTCTTTGTCATTCATTTGTTTATCTCTCAGCAGCATAGCAGGTTATTGAAGACTAGCCTAAATCAGGCACACCTTAATCGTCTGACATCCTTGCTCTTCACTAGTCAACTACAGTTCATAGTTCATAGTGACCCTGAACAGCAGATCTGAACAAAGTTTCCCCTATTCTTGCCATCCTTATGATCTCTATTCTGTTCATGCCCATGTGGTTGTCAGTTAGACTATCTTACTAAGTAAGGGTCTTTCACTGACCCTCCATCTTTCCCAGTATGATCTCTCTCCAAGGGCTCTCTGTCCTTGAAAATAGGCCCAACATA